TTCTCCATTCCTCCCTGCATTCCCTAGGCTGAAGAGGGGAGGGCCCTGAGTCTTCCTCTGAATGCCCAGCCAGATTGTGCCCTTCCCCAGTTTCCTCCACAGCCACTGGAGCCACACCTCCCACTCCCTGTCAGCTCCTCCATCTCCCCCTCAGAGTCAAACTCCAACAGGGGCATGACAGGTGACCTCTGTCCTGGAGCTCTCCGAAGGCCCCATTTTGAGCTTGGAAGGTCTCCTGGAGCACTCTGGAGGCCCCATTTTGGGCCTCCTGGAGCACCCTGGGGGCCAAAATCAGTTGCAGGAGGGAGCAAAGCCCTCCAGTGCTCCGTTTTTGCTAGCAGAGGCTCCGCGTGCCAGTCCTTTATTATCCAGCCCACAGACCTCGAGTTTGGCACCCCTGCCCTAGACATTTGGTCTACCTGGAACTGATTTTGGTGCTGCAGCCACCCCAGATATGGATGGGAAGTTCCCTGGGGACCCTTGAACCCCATGTTTTCCTCCCTTCTCCTGGCCTCTTACTGTTCCGGACTTCACAGTTCCAATGGCTGAAAACGCCCGAGGACTCCAGCGTGATGTGGACCCCCTTTTCACTCTGACTGTAGCCGGTCACGATGAACTTCTCGTAGGGCGGGATGAGAACTTCCTCTTCGTATGGTTTATACGAAAAGTCATCAATGCGCACTCCGTGACACGTAAGGATGGAGAAGAAGGTGTCCTTGCTGAAATTTTGGGCCACCATCTTGTTCAAGGAGGAGGACGCAAACTGTCCGAAGCGGACAATCGCGTTGTTGGAGACGGTGAAATGGATGTCTCGTATGCCGCGGAAGACCTGATAGCAGCACTTCTTGGATTTGGCCTGGAGAGCTTTGGTAAGAAGGAAGTGAAAGTCCTTGAAGGCATAGCGGTCGTAAGAGTCTTGGGATTTCCCAGCTTCTCGGGTGGCGGTGTTGAAATCGCGGTACAGCTCATCTCCGACGGTGTAGGCCACGATCGCGGTGCCGTAAATTGGATTGAAGCTGCCAACGGATTGGCCGAGGCTGTCCCAGTGGCGCTTTGCCTTTTCCCAGGTTTGGGGATACTTTTTCTCCACAGGAAGCTTTCCCGGCTTGAGCAGATTGTCGGGGCTGCAGCCTATGTACTGGTCATCCACAGAGTTGCTGAACATGGTGAGGGGGATCTCGACAAGACACCACACCTGCCCGGCAAAAGAGAAGGTTGAGCAAGCAACACGACGGAAAGGAAAGAGTCCAACGGTCAAGGAAGCCAACCTGAACCCATTCCTCTGTTTGAGCCCCCCCCAAAGGAGCTCATGGGGGAAGAGAAAGTTAAAGGGGTCCCTGCGGATTTTACTCCACTAGTCATGTCTGATTCTCTCGGGAATGGGGCTCGTCTCTATTTTGAAACCGTTGAACCAGCGCTGTGCGAAGATGTTTCTGGGGTCATGTGGCCAGCATGACATCAGGGAGCGCCGTTACCTTCCCGTCTATTCACATTTTCATGCTTTTGAACTGTTAAGTTTGCAGGAGCCGAGGTCAGGATGGGAGGTCAGTCCATCTTGTGGCACTCAGATCTCGAACCCGGGCTCTCGATATCAGGAAATGCCGTTACCTTCCCATTCTTAGTGGTACCTATTTATATACTCGCATCTTCTTCCCCTCCTCCTTCTTTCTCCCCCTCCTCCTCCTTTTCCTTTACCTCTTCCTCTTCCTTCTCCTCCTCCCCTTACCCTCTTCCCCCTTTTCTTTCC